TTTTGAAGGCTGGCCACGGTTTTGGGCTTCGTTGAGCAAAGTTTGATGTGGAACGGACAAAATCTGTGCAAATCTGGGGCTCCTCTCTTCAGTGCCGGGTCCAAATAATCAGCTAGGTTTTGAAGTTTCGGTTCCGTGTCCTGACCTGGCGCCTTCATAAATCCCCCACACTCCATGGGACTGCCATAGGAGTGCCGCCCCAGACAGACCCCCCTGGCACCACCCCAATGTAATTAGGCATATATGGCAGTCCCATGGGTCGCGTCTGGGAATAGAACTCCACTCCTCACCGATCTCGGTTCGGTGGCGACGATCCATGGGGAGGGACGTTCTTCCAACCACATCGCTGGTCTCGGCGCTTCGGAGTGTTCTTCCCGGTGGATCCCCACCGAACGCTCGGGAGTTCGTACGAACGCTCGGCACGGGCCGGACTCACAATCCCCCCCAACACACAAACATTCGATACAAGGAGACGCAAAGCTTATCAAAGCCTTTATATTGCCAATCATTTACACACCTGTTTACTACCTGGAGCATACTTGTGCAGGACTACCTCCAGGCATACCCAGGTCTGGTCGGATGCTTCTGGCCTCTCTTCAGAATCTGGACCCTCGTCCAGATCAAAGACTCCGAGCTCCTAAAGCCTCAAGCACCAAGTATTTCTGACTTCCAGAAACAGATTACACTCTGACCCACTACGGGTTGGAAGTGGATGGCATGGGAGAAGGAAGAATTCTGATGAAGAACTGACTGAGAAGGTGGGTCCAACCGCCAATTACCTCGAAGGACAGTCTGACCATGAGTCCAAACCATCTTCGCCAAGCGATCATTGTTATGCGTGTCAAGCTTTTGGGGGTTGGAGAACATGCGGGACCACACTGTGCTTCACCGACTTCGATGTTTGCTTCTCACAGAATCTCACAGCGGCCATGGAAGGCCAACCACGATCCGCCCCAAATCCGTGCGAATTGGAGACTGCGGATCCGGAGGAGAGCTGAAAACACCTTCCTGGGCGGAGGAGAGACCGGAAGGCGCAAATCGCAGCCAGCAGTTGTTGAAATGGAAAGAGGGTGGAATCGATCCAACGTATTCTATATAGGGACCCGACGGATCCAGCGTACGTTCGGTACTAACCAATGCCAAACTTGAATCCGGAACCCTCACTCATTCTAAAGAGCACGATGTCTCACAAAGGGATGGTGAGACGAATCCTCCCGTGGAGAGTGGTTCCTCACGCAGGATCACGCAATTTGCACACATGCCTTTTTCCTATATGATATCGTAGAGAGATATCACTTCGAACCAGGTTTCAACCTAGCTCATCCTATGTCCAACAAAAACAACGCTGAACAAATGAGCCAGCCGTACCCTTGGAGCTCAGGCTGTGCAGCTCCGCACTCTGCAGCATCGACCCGGAAAACCCCGATTTCACCGTGCGACACGCGGAGCGGAGAGCGGAGCGCGGAGAGCGGAGAGCGGCCTCATCTTGCATCTCGAAACCTCGGTTTCAAAGCGGCGAACGAGTCATGACTGGTGCGAAGAAAGCTGGCGAGAATGAAGGTGTTTTTTTTTTTTTCTGGATATGAATGGATCACTGAATGGATCCTAAAGTATCTATACCAGCACCTTCCAAGAGGTCTCCTCCGGAGGCTTTTGTCGACTTAAAAGTCGCAGGTGGTGACCTGTTGGAAGGTCCTGGTATCTATTGATATACGGGGTCATTCCCTTATTTCTCTACTAAGCACCAGTAAGAAAAAGCACGTGTTTTCATTATGTTTGAAGGTGTGAAATCTGGAGTCGACGAAGCCCTGTTTTGTGCTGGTTCGGGCACTTCCAAAACATTGCAAAAGACTACCTTCGGCCTGATGAATTTCTATCCTCAAAAAAACAAACACAGATTGTGGAAGAGCATGCGTTCCACAAAAATGCATCAGCCAGGTCCTGGCCGATTATCATTCCTGCACAAAGAAAACACATAATTTAGCTCAACAAGCCAAACAATCAATCAAACAAAATTGCCCCCCCAAATCCCAAAACATTTCAAAACCACGGTTGGTGTAATCAAAAGGTCACAGTGCCATGACATGTCCAATTAATCCAAATGACTTGTGACATGTACTGGCTTCTGGATTTGGCTTGTCTATGAACATGTCATTGTAGAGCTATTCCTAAAATATGAACAAACATGTGACAAGGAAGCCAGGGCAGTTCCCAACAAATCACATCAAGTACAGTATAAAATTAAGGTCCGATTAAGGTTGTATTCATAGCTCTTGGAAGCTCCCATGATTAGAAACCATAAAATAACGAATGAAAATGCCAAGAAACAAATCAGATCGCTCTCCGTCGCATCATAGGTGAAATTCAGCGTCTCTGTGGCGACGCCTGCTTGGGCGTTTGTTCATAGTGCCGTAACGTAAAGAGTGTGGAGGATTTCTCGGTGGTTATGTTTTGCTGTTGGTAGATCTGGGTATGGAATTCCTTTAAGGACGACGACTTTGCTGCACAAAACAGGGACGATATACCAGTATACCCTTCCTCGCTTTGGCGGCAAGCACCCTCAACTTGAGGGACGGCTGCGACTTGCTGTCTTGCTGTCAAAGAAATCTGATTTATTTTTTGCACCGTTCTTCACATCTGATCAGCTGGTCCAAATCGCCTGGACCCACCCGCCCAACCGCTGCCCTCCCCGGTCCTCCGCCTTCCCCGCCCCGCCTTCCGTGAGCTTCAGATGCGGCGGTTCCGAATTGGGCGCGTCACGGTGGAAGTGGGGCGCCAGCGCGAAGGGCGTCATGGGTGTAGAGGGCCAACTGGAGGCACGCGTGGAGCCCGCGGTGGTGTCACCTGAGGTGAGCAGGTGAAGGTGAAAGGACAGCGCAGTCGGACTGCAGGGCCAGGCAGTGCCATGTGAAACCTGCACTCCGACCGAACCACATCACCGGGAAGTGGAGCTCACACCCTGTTTGTAAAGGAAAGTAGTCTTCCAAGAGGCCATGCCATCCACTTCCATGTTAGTGAGTCGGAGGGTACCATCTCCCAAATCCCTTCTCTCCGTCCCCGAAAGACACTTCCCACGTCGTTCGAATCGGTCGTTCTTCCAAGGCGCCGTCGACGGTGTCGGTCTGGATCCAGGCGTGATCACAACGCACGATGTTGGGATGATCCATGCCCGCCAGGATTTGAGCCTGGCAGCCATAAAGCGCCCGCGAAGCCCAGGTTATGACACTGAAAGGGGCTAAGGGAGCTCCAAAAGGCCACTGCAGGATCCTTTTGTTCCCAAGTCTGGCAGACTTGCCAAAGCGGACGGACCCTTAAAACCTTCCGGACGCATGCGACGCACATATTTATTGTTCTCAGTCCATTCAGGCAATTCCTTTATCGGACACATGATGATGATCCAGATTAACCAACAAACGCATTCAACACCATTCACATACTTGTTTGCCTCTTTTGTCACTTCTGTTATGACTTATTAGGTTCCCGGTCAAGGCACTCAAAAGCTGTCTATCGGACTAGCACTTACTAAGGCCCCATCACGACCCCGCCATTGTCTCCTAATGTTTTCATGTAGCAGTTTTCAAGGCAAAAGCTTTGCCCGGCGATGCCCCAAACCCAGGGAGGTTGACCCTCCTCGTAGTCAGTTCATGTGCACAATTCAACCATATGTGGGTGCTGAGACCGTGTCTCGCTCATCTCCCGCACCTCCCGGATGACACTCATCTCAACACCTGTCATGTGACCCGCAGCTGGTCTGACCACGTGACTCACGTGACGTCGAGGAGTCGAACTTCCTCCAGTCCCTCAGTAAACTCCTGGAAAAAGGGAACCAAACGGTCCATCTGTTGGGCAAGTGGGGGGTTTCCCAAATTCGCCGTCCCTACAAGTCCAAAGACCTCATGTTACATCATTCTACTGGGGATGGTCATACAAAACCAATACTTAAGGAGGTAAACGACCAGGTTTTACTGCCTTTGGACTTGTAGGGTGTAAAGGCTCTCCACTGCTAGGGTCAAATCCACACGTTGAAATGACTACGCTACGTAGGGCAGGTGCCGGGCCTGTTCCCGTTTTGGTGGCCGTGTGAAACGGCAAAATGGGTCACACAATACCCACTGGGTCGCTACAGTAGTTAATTGGAACCCTCATGTCACTGAAGTTGGGAGTTCTTGTTGCAAATCATGTCCTATATGATGTATTTGCGCTTTCAGGATTCAACTCCATCCACAGAAGTTAGTTGAACTCTGCACTTCGATGTCATCCGTCGATGTCATACGTCATACGTCTCCAGACGGCGTCTGGGACGGGACGACCGCAGACGACCAGCGATCGCTGCGTGTCGCGCGCTGTGGATCCGTTGTTCTGGGACGACGTGTGCGAACGTTAGGGCTCCCATACCACAACCTCAGAAGGTATGGACACCCCCAAAACACCCACCCCAACCTCTGAACCTGATGTGGGACAGGAGCGATACCTCGACCAAACGTGTTCAACTTCTGTCTCTGCTCGCCGGCAGAAGGACCAGTTCCTGTTCGGTTCACCTTTGTTGTTGCTGGCACCCTCCAGGGCGAATGTGCCAAACATGAATCCAAACTGCCAAGGGCAGCCAGTTGAACACAAAAAAATAGAGATTTTCAAGAACCTAAGCATGCTGTATGCATACGTTGGCATGTTGATTCTTCTGACACCAAGGAAACCGTGTTTTCTATTCTAGATGCTCTTTCCGGTGCCCCTAGTTGGGAGCCAAGGTCAGTTTGTGAGGTTTGGCTGAGTTGGTTCGCGTACCTTGCAAAAACTGAGCCAGGAAAGCACCCGCGAAGTCTCTCCTTTTTTGTGGAGTCAAAGAAGTGGCCACGCTATGCCACGCTATTCACCTCTAAGCCGAAATGGGTCTTGGTCTTGGTTGTTGTTTTGTGCTTTAACAGTAATAGATCTGGGGGGTGTTTGACCATGCGTGGCATGCCTTTACCAAAGCCCAGAAGTAAACTGGAAAATTGGTGGGGAAGTAGGGAACTTCCAGCAGGAGTAGAACATGTTTCGATGTTGGGACATCGTTTCGAACTACCTGCGAACTGCTGGCTCGAAGGTCTCCAATGGTTCTCAAACAGTGGTGTGGTGTCATTCCAGCACTCCAACTCGTTCATTAACTAGATCTACTGTGAAATACTGCGAGTTACTACAGTATTGAAAACAACAAATAATGCTAACCCACACACTCCATGTATGCCATATATGCCTGCATTGACCCCCCAAACCACACCAATGTAGGCATATATGGCATACATGGAGCGTCTGGGTAAACCACTGCCTCGATCGTCGATCCGCTTTTTCTTCGGCACGGCGCCTGTGCCGCCCTTGTAGCGCACGGCCTTCACCGCACAGGGCTCACGATCCAAGTGATCCTTGCCTCGGTCCCGGTCGCGGTCCGCGGTTCGCGTGGTTTTCAAGGTATACACTCCGAGGCTAGATCATGGCGGGGGTGGTCCCGAGGGGTGCCGACGGCAGCCATGGGATGGATGGTGACCGGAAGACTTGAGGATCTAAATGGTCTTCACCAGGAACTACCTCCCTGGAGCTGGTGTGGAGGGCCGCCCCCCCTGGTTCGGTCCAGAGGATGGTCTTCCGAGTCCTCAGCCATCCACGTCAGTGGTGGCTACCGACGTCGGAGCATGTCGCCCCGCTGTGGCCGCCGTGGGACTGAGGATCGCCCACAACCAACCCCCTTCTGGCATCCACCCACCTATGGATGCCGTGGCAGCGGCCCGGTTATCCTTGCCATGACAAACTTCTGGCGTCCACCCACTTTGGTCAAAGGGTAGGGTAGAGTCCCCTTTTGTATCCGGAATCTCACTCAAGTCGACCATCCCAAGAACTGGGATATGCTGTGTTCCTTGCTGAGCTCAGACTCAGACTCCATCCGCCACAGTCACTCAGCTAGCTCCAATTACATGTTCTGAATATATTTCAAGGCCTCTAGAGCTTCAGTGTCGTGAAGCTGAATGTGAGGTGCAGAACTGCACGCAGCTGCTAGCACATACACTCCGACTCACGGTCCATCGAACTGGAAAACCACCTTTTTTTTTATAGAGGAACATGGTCTTCGCAAAGAACATTGTTCCAGTTCCATATGAGTGAGTCAGTGAGTCAGAGTGTACCTCCTCTGCTGATGCTGAGCTTGCTTGGCCACACAGGTCCTATAGGCCTTATTCTTGAGTTTGTTCTGCAAAGCCTCGAGTTCTGTCTTTGTACAGCGAAACTGGGCTCTCCCCATGCTCTGCCTCCACCAGCTGTTGCTCAAAGAATGCCTCGTCCACCGCCTCCAAACTCCTCGCTGGAAAAGCCTTTTGAAGAAGTACACTCCAAGGAACACATCACATTCACGTGGTCACGTGGCATGCAATGGGCCCTTGGAACACCCTTCTCCGAAAACCAAGCAGGTGGTGAACTCTCTCCACGTAACCATGTGATGTGTTCCGGAGGAAGGTGCCTCAAAGGCACGGAAAGCACAAGAAACGGTTCTGCTCCACAGTGCTCGGCGACTGGTTTCCTGGTTCTCCAATTCAGCAGCTGGTTCGCGGGTTCCCTCTGGAGCCGTGCGGAGGGGTCATATATGTCATATGTTTGATTATATATAGTGTTTCTGCACAATCAACCTTCATTATCTTCATCATCATCATCACCATCATCATCATCAGCAGCAGCAGGGGCAGCAGCATTACAATTATGTTATATCAGCCTGATCTTCTCACCCTTGCACCTATCAGCACATCAAGGAGACAAAGCCTTGACGTCCTCCGCCGAAGGGGGCAACGCCTCCCAGGACCCATCGCCGCGCTCGATCCGCCGCGCTGCTCTCCGCCGCGCCGAGTTGCAGCACCAAACTTCTCCGAAAGCGCCTTGACCGAAGGGCCTGGACCGAAGGCTTCGCGCGGAACCGCGAGCCCCGAAGCGCGCCCCGCGCCCAAAAGGGGGTGCTGCGGACCCACCTGGGTCCGAACCCCAAAAACGATTGGGTGGCTTCGCGCTTCCGAACTCCCCACGAGCGCCGCTCCCCGTTCGAAAAAAGAACAGCGCAAGGCGTTTTTGGCAAAGCGGGCGGCGTTCGGAAGGGATATCAACCACGCAGCACATCGGTTTTTTGTGGCATGTTTTAGTGGTCAAAAAGCACAGTCACATGGCCATGGATGTGAACACCCTTTTTTTTCAGCAAAATGGTCATCATTGGTCTTCCTTTCGGGGCCTATGCATGCCTATGCCATCCACTTCCATGTGGCTGTGGGTCAGAGTGTAGTGGTATTTCGAAGCCGCCGCCCTTCGGTTTTGCCGATCTTTTGAGAGCGTTGCAGGGTCAGTCCTTACCTTCGGGTGGTTGGACCCCTGTCGAAATACTTTGAATCTATGCAGCAAGAGTGGATGATGATGGTTAGATTGCGGGCCTTGTTCAATAATAGTGATCATTGTTTACCGACTGTTAGAGGTATTGGGACAGACCCAAACTATATACTTGCTTGATCCTTTATCACTGGTATCATGTTTTAAACTGTTCAACTGACTATGGCCAAAGGTTTTGGTACCCATCATGCGGAGCCAAATGCCCAAAACCAATCTGCTGGCCACTGGATCCTCCTCACTTCATGTTCTAGTCCTTGAAGCTCCCAAGCGAAAGCAAAGCGGACTATATAGAAGGAACAACCAAGGTGTTGCCAAGCTGAAAGCTGAACTGCCTTCACGGCTTGTGGTGGTTGCGGTTTTTGGTTTCGCAGCACGCGCCTCAGGCGCTCAAAATGCTCATCGAAGTAGCCACTGCTCTGCTTTTGAGGTTGTGGTCGCCTACAGAAGACTCGAAGAGTTTACAGTGGATTGAGAGTAAAATGGCACAGATGGATCCCAAAACATGATTCATCTGGACGGGTCCCCATCCAAAATGAGACATCTTGGGGTGTAATCTACTCTGAAACCACTGTAAGAGCAGGCTTGGAAAAAACACATTCATCATATACCACTAAACCTCTTTAATGGGTAGGAAGACTTCTTGGAACCTGGTGCTTGGTTTGAAGGATATATCTTGGAGCCTAGTGGGTGCTATCAAGTCACAACGGTTGGAATTCAGCTTGACTGCCGTGAACTGTGGTGAACTTTAGCACTTTAGCTACAGCCAGACCGAGCTAGAAGCAGCTAGACTGCTGGACATGGAACAAAAAACATGGGTGCCATCAAGTCCAGTTGTGTTTGTGTTTAAGATCCCCCATGTGCTTGACCCTTGGGGTCCTTGGGCTTGTCTTTCGCAGTATCTATATACAGGAAAAAAAACTCTGCTTTTTCAAAAGACGCGACACTCCACTTCTCCTGCAAAAGTGTTCCTATGAAAACAATTCTATGACATGGATGGCTTTTGGAACTACTCAACCTGCCAACAGTGTTGCCAACGTGGCAAGCGTGATCCACCAACCCATACCAACCCCCTTGTACTGTCAATGGCATTCAGTCAGTAGTAGTAAGACATGAGAACTTCTGTGTTGTAATTGGTTATCCTCTTATTCTTTTGTATGCAATATATGCAGAACCCTGACGGCTGCAAAACGGTGGAACCTGTTCAGCAGTCCTCAACAGACCCAATTTACCAGAGATCTATGGTGTGTTTTCTACAGTTTGACACAACAGCAAGTAAAGCAAGCTCTCAGGGGTGTTTCAGGAGTCCATTGTCATCAGTTTGTAGGTCTCTGACTAGTTGCATCTCCTCCCGTTGGCCTCTCCGGCTCAGTAAATTGCAGCGCTACCAGGCCTCCACTCGCGCCCAGCTTCGAACCAACCGGATGAATCATCACAAGTACACCCCCCCACCATAGGCGCCGCATAGGAACACCTCTGCTGCAAGTTGATGAATAAGTGAAGATTCGAAGTAATTCTGTGCTTGTGGGTGGGCGGGGAGTCAAAGTAGTTTGTATCGATTCATGTAGAATACAGCTACTCCCTCAATCAGGTACAACAAAACAGGGGAATGTACCTTTGTGAACATGAAGTCAAGCGCTTGTCAAGCACATGTTGTCAAAAATTCTGAAAACATCCTGGGCTAAACACACCAGCCGCTGCTTCACCAAATCACATGCTGCATTCCAATGGCCAGCAGACTCGGATCTATTCGAAGGAGTAAATAGGTGCAGTAGCTACCAACTCATTCATTCACCTTTCAGTTGCCCATTCCATTGGACGCCAGAGGCACTCAGTTTCGTACCTGGTAGGAAAAGACTGTTGAGTTTTGAAGAGACTCAACTACAACAGATCTTTATAGAAAAAGCTTTGGGTCTTGGCCTCCTCAAAAAAAAAAGAAGTTTCATTCATCATCAAACGCATTTGTTCATTGTCGCAGGATTCCGTGGCACGCGCAGTGCAGGATTCCGCCATACCCGCCTGTACCCGATGCCATCATCGAATGCTATGGAACCTCAGCGGAGCCGGCTGGCGCAGTTGAGCAGTTGAACTGGGTGAATGCCTGAGGTCTACACCCGAGCCGTTTCCCTATAACATTAGGCTTAACCTTTTGTCCACCACATTTGAGTGGGAAAGCCAATCCCCAGACAAGGTTGAAGGCGATCCACTGACTGGGTAGGCCTATAGCATGTACTGTACCAGTAGTTGGTTTGTTGGCTACAGGACAGTAGTACCTACATATCAGTCGCAAAGGCTCCGCAAAGACAAGGTCGTGTCCTCTACATCACCAGGTAGAGTAGCCCTGTCCATGTATATACACATGTTGTTTGTGTTTAATGATCATGATGATTGATGATTGTTGATTGTATATATATAATAGGACAGACCGGCGTTTTACCAAGAACTACCATTTCCGGAGGGCATGATAGGATGATATGCGATGAATGTGCGATGTGTTTCACAAGCAGAAAGCACAAATAAAGTAACTCCTCCTCAAAAGATGTGAGGAACCAGTGCTAAAATGACCTTTGTTTATCACGTACCAAGGGTATTCAGCGTATGAAACCCTGCAACAAAAAGTGGTTAACAAAGAAGCACAGCCTCCATCATCTGGCATATCGAGTTCGTATTCCCCTGGCATCGCAGTTCTGCACCAGTTCGAGGTCACCTCTTCCCTCGGTCACCTCGTCTCACCGACGAGTCGGTTGCTTACGTCTCGTTGGACCCGTTGGGTATGGCTACACGTACCAGCCCTTGGCGAGGGTCACACAAACCCCGGCCCCCCCCCCCTACCTTCTTCTGTACAGGGACCCGTATGTAGCTCTTCCAATGCCCAAAGGCTTGTTCTGGGTCTGAGGATGGCTACCAAGATGATGTGTAGACTTTGCACTATGATTTTGCATATGTATTTCTGATTTCTTCAGAATCCAAAGACTTTGTGCTATGATGTTGCATACTGTATGTAACTTCTAACCAAATTTCTTCAGAATCCTTCAAGTTAAGGAGGAAGACATCTTCAAAATCCATCGCTGGGTCGGCCCCTTCCTCCTTCCCATGGCTCGGCCACGACCATCCGTCCGTCTATCTCTCGGTCTCCAGGGCACCGAGCCGATCGTCTGAGTGCCGCGATGTGTGCGCGGCTCAGCTGACCCGTGGAATGTGAGAGCGCGAATGGCCAGAGCGAGTTGCTTCGAAGTAAATTTGTAGGGCTTCGAACTGTCGAACTGCTGGATTTACTCCAAAAACTCCATTCACTCGCGGTATGCGGGCACGGGTGGATCCACATGATTTGGGGGGAGAGAAGGCATGTTGAGGGTTCAAATCCCCTACGTTTCTGAGAATCTTCATGTTACATCCATGCATAGGGACGAGCTTTGATTCTCATCCTCTTTCCCTAGAACGTCTTGAGGTATTTTATGGTATGACCGGATCCAGAAAACCTTGCTGAAGCAGATCAACTCGTGGCTTACGTGAGACAATATCTTCTCCTTGCTGAGAAGTGCTGTGTGTCTGTGGGAGTGAAACCATCTGTCGACTGTCCTTGTGTTGAAATGGGATGTCCTCAACACAAGGCCTTCTGTTATGTTCGGTTTGTCCCTTAAGCTAGAACTGACAACAAAAACTTAAGTGGTGATCAAAATTTCTGGGCCCTGGCTCGCAGCATGTAGCCGCTCGCCTAGCCTATAGAGACTTCTGATAGTACCTTCATAGGAGCGTCTGCGGGGGGGAGACATCGCTCCAGCGACATCATAGCAGCGGCTGCGGAAGAAGCAGGTGACCTGTGAGATGCGGTGAGGTTCTGGGTCTCCGAACCGCCAAACAGAGAAGAACTCTTTAGCACGACTGAGCGACTTGGTGGGGGCATATATCATATACATCTGATGTCATCTATATCATCTGCTCATGCAACATCTTGAATTTACCTGAATGTCGCATTCCACGGGCAAACTGAAGTACTCAGAGCCCACCAGATGAAGGACACAAGCCGAATCTGATCCAGTCTGAGTCAAGTCAGAATCTGGCTCAACTAGTAACTGCCTTCAACCTGACTGACCTCTATTTTGGACAACCCACCACCTAAAATGCAGCACTTTCCAATCAAAGGGGTCAAAAGGGTCCTCATTGTAGATTGCTCAATGGCCAGTGTTCCCAATCATTTCTCCAGCTAGAGTGACTTTCGTAGCTAAAGCACATTCACAGCCCCAAACAATCTGTGCATGGAATGTATGTACTTCTGTGGTTTTCGTTTGTTTGAAGGTGTTTTAAAATGTTTTTAGTGTCAATGTAGGTAAATAATCCAGTCCCATGGATTGTGGAGGACCAAGAATGTATAGTGATTGCAACCTGCCTCGCTTTGACTGGTGGAACACGTGGAACACAAAGGACAGAACTGAGAAGTTTGGACCTGAAGATGTAGGAGGTTCATGGAGAGAGTTCTGAAAGCGAGTCCATTCATCTGGATTGGGCATCATTCGAATCTAAACCGCACGGAAAGTTGCGGTCTTGGTGTCTGGGCGAAGCCCTGTGAAACTGTCGAATTTCACGGTCAGCGAACAGTCGGCGCGCATGATGAATGTGCATGCGCGTCTGTGTTTGATGTCAGCATGATACGTTTTGAGACTTGCAATGTCTGATGTTGCCTGACTCAATTGAAGAAAAATGCCAAAAACTAAAAAAAAAATAAAACATAACGCACAACATGCACACTTCCCGTGGACGTCACCAAGAAATTGGCCTCATGAGGCACCACATTCCCATGCTCATGTCGTGGTCATGTCGTAACCAGCGATGTGACACCAGGGATCCGAGGACTCGGTTGGCGATCTGTGTCCATCGCGATTCGGCGATTCGGCGATGCCGATGCTCCGACCGACATGGCACTTCTTTTGACCGACCGTGACCGTTCTTTCCGTGTTCGGAAGTCGACTTACCTGACATATGTCAACCTACCTAAATTCCGTCCGTCCGGGGCTCCGAGTGCCATATGACCCGATTGGCGCCAAATGAAGTGATATAGATGTTCTTTTTGTGCGTAATTTGCGTGCCTCAGCTTCTGTTATCTAGAATACATTGATGATGTGATAGAAACCATGTGTGCCGATGTTCGGTTCGCATGACCGAGAAGTAGGGGTTCGAAGCGCGTCTACAGGTGACCAACCTCAGTGCCAACGAAGGTGGGTGATCAACATCTGCACCCATCTTCTGTACTTGGATTTGCTCGTCCAGGAAGCCGTCTGTACAAGATGAAGATTCCCCATCATGCCAGGGGATTTCCCAATGATGGAAACACATCACCTGATCCAAAAAAACGTTCCTTTCCCCCAAGTGATTTATTACAAGTACAAGTTTGTCCATATATATATATATATATAGTTGTCCATGCATATATATATAGTTTGTCCAAAACCCTCCCCCGTTTTTTTTTGGGGGGGCAGGATGCGGGAAGGCCTTTTTGTCTGTAAGGTTTCAAATGATTTCAGTGACCTTCGCACTGAAGGAGGGGGACAGCCTCGGGGAAGGTAGCGAAGTGGTCTGAAAGACTGATTCCGAATCGCTGAACTCCAACCTCGAGGCTCCAGCAATCACATGGACAAAGAATGAGCTCTTGCTCGAACGAGCCAATCCTATACACATTGGGTATATCCATGTATATCCCATAATAGTGGATGATGATGGTTGGTAAAGGTCTCGCTCTAAAATAATGATAACTGATAACTGTTTACCAACTGTTACAGGAAACGGGACACGGCCAATGGGACACCATCTGAACTGCACCAGGACCATCCTCTAAGACTACCATGATCGGACACCCAAGCAGGATGGTCCAGGTACAAAAATCACCATCGGAAGTCAAGCACCAAGCGACTCAGGCAACCCACTGGCCACTCTGGGACTCAGAAGTCTGATTTATTAGGGGCTAGTTGGCTGGTTGCATGACACACCATCCTGTTCAAATCATGGTTCCTCCACTGCAAAGGCACCGATGCCGCCGCGAGGTCACTTAAGTATCGTGATCTATCGTGCGAGATATGCCAGATCACCTTCACTCTGCATGGTTTGAGACGCGCGAATGACTTTAGACGTGCAACGTATGGACCCAAAAAGACACGGTCAAAAGTGGACTGATTGGTGGTTTCAACTGGTTCAACAAAACAACTGGTCAGCTCAGGTTCTTTCTTTTGTCCCAAGTCAAGAATTCAACCATCAACATCAAGAATTCAGCCATCACCGGACCAAAGAATGCTTTCTTTCAGCTTCACCACCAAAACCCACCTGGTTGGTTGAATGCTTCACCACCTGCTTGGATGCTTCACCCGGTCCATCCCCCTTCGTGACACCTTCCGCGTCGAGGACGGGTCTCCCGGACGCCCTCGATGGTTGGCACCTGGAGAGGACCGGACCGGACTTGGGGGCGCCTGGAGACGGCGGACTTCCAGAGTAGGGGGGTGGATGAGAAGTGATACTGACCAACAGAGGTTGAAGAACCCTATAGACTATCCTATAGGTACCCCTGTAGGGTCCTATAAGGTCACTTAACCTCTGTTGAGATGAGACCAAAAAGCCTATCATGGAGCGCCAGGTCTCATCTCGATATCGGCGCCAGGTCTCTTCACTTGAATTCACTGGATTGTACCTCACTTATCCTCACTGTAAACTCAGAGCATCATCAAACAAGTGCACTTCGTAATATACTTCGTGACACACTTCGTGCGAGCCGTATTCTTTGGCTCGGAAGTGGTGGTTTTTTCGGCTTCATACCAAACTGTTCCTGGGATCTCATGGCGCGCATGCCTTCTGCTGATAAGAGTTCAAGCTTTCCTCCTCTTGCCGATAAAAGCCATCAAGATAGTCAAGGTCTGAAACCAAGAAACAAGCACCGACCTTTGCAATGACCTGATTGAGGAATGGCACATCAAATCCGTATGAATCGGTCTTGCCCACAGAACGCCACTGCTTGCTACCTTCCTCAGCATGCTTCCAATCAGCCTACAGGAGGTGCAAAGCGCCGATCGTTGTCCCGGCACCGGCACCTCTGGTTGTCCCGCGTTCGTCACTCGGCCGCTGCCACACTTGAGCAGGAAGTGGTTGGTTGGCACAATTGGTGGAGTTGGTTGGTTGGCTTCCATTGATATGAGCGCTGGGGTGATCGGTTTTGAGGTGGACCTTATCGTTTTGCAGGGCTTTGTGCACAAACCTGCCCCTCTTTACTAAAGTGGTCTTCGCATGTTTTGACCGTAGCTCATATGCAACCGCACAATATCATGTCACATCTCTACATAGCCACACTTCTATGTGATACAGAACGCTTAAAAGGAACACACTGCATTCAAAAACAGTCTTGTCTTCCAGGGGTTCGTGTTGTGGTACCAAAGCTGACACCTTCGTATGCTCTTCATTCGCCAGCCTTGCATAAGCATCATCATCATCATCGTGGTCGTCGTCATCATCTTGGACACAATGTAACATCTACAGTATTTGAGCATAGCTATATAATCATGGCTAGCCAATATGTTGGGTCTATCGTATTACCTGTAACAGTGGATGATGATGGTTAGCAAAGGCCTTGTTCAAACATGATGAACATTGTTTACTGACTGTCACAGGTAATAGGACAAACCCTACCAATATACAGCCTATATATAGACCTAATTCTGGAAATCCATGTTCCATGCAATACCCTCCTGTCGTGACTGTCGTGAGCTCGATCGGGATAGTCGCGAAGTCGTCGCGTTGGCGCGGGGAGTCTTTGATGGAGAAACGTGGAAAAACCTGGTGGCATATATGGTTGACCCCAAGCCGAATCGGGTGGAAGACCAACCTGTGGTGAAAAACACACACACAAAAAAAAAAAAACAAAACAAACGCGCAAAAAAAGGATCTTCAGCCTGACAAAGTCCATCGATTTGAACAAAATACGATTTTTGTTCCAATGGATGTTCTTTGCACCATTTTCAAGTGCCCCACTGAATCTGCATCTGGCTTCTGAATCTCCATCTAGATACTGCGGTTCACTGCGAGTCATGTCTCCTTTTTTGGTTCACAGCGATTGTCCACCGCACATTGTCCACTACTGCGAGGAGCCCGAACTCCGCCTACACCGTACGTGCAGGTCGTTGCGTCTTTGTCGCCGGCGAGCCGAGCGAGCAGTGCCAAGGGAGGTGCCGCTGGGTGCCCTCCGCCACGTCGATTTTCCCGGCGAGTTGAGGAACGTATTCATCTGAAGAAAACATATCCTCTCATTGGTGCATGAAAGAATGACAGTTCAACAATGGCGTAAGCGAGCGAGCCTATATAGGTTGAATGACATGATTTGGTTAATTCATGTTGATTCTGATAGTAAATTATTAAGTGTTTATTCTTCCCACTGATAAGACAAACGCCACTGATGAGGACTTACCCCTGCAGCGGAACCAAAACAGTTTCCTGTAAAGACTGGCCCAAATTCTGAATCAAGTAGATAGTTTGGGTCTATCCCAACCAATAGCAGTGGATGATGATCGTTAGTAAAGGCCTTTTGCCGACTGTTAGAGGTATTACGACAAAAAGTTAACATGAAACTTGTCAAAACCATGGAACAGTTCCATTACAGTATATTTGGGGATGGCCATGACGATCAAGAGCAGTTGTGCACCGTATTAATCCATGTTGACAGAAACCCTTACGGACCATCTGCTTGAGAGTAGCCATGCTTGCTAGGGCCTTTGTCTGCGGGACAGGACCACGTCTGGACACATCTTGGGAACCTTGGCACTGCCATGTGCTGTGGGGCTTAGGTTTAAGGCCCCGCCATGTCGATGCCAGCCCTTTGGATGAATGAAGCAGATGTGCTGTTTTGACACAAAGCTCACGACAAACATCTTCAGTGTTTGACAGTGCGATTGGAGTATATAAACTCTGTGTGCTGTGTCCAACGCCTTTCCTGCGGCATGCTATCAGAGCCACCGGGGCAAATGGACATATGACGAGAGTTGTTTTGGGAGCATCCAAAGCGATCTGGATCTGGTCCTATGACGAATTCCAGGCAGAGAAGGCCTCAGCGGCCTGGCAGCCTGGGCAGTGCGCAAGTGCGCTTGCGCGCGCGCAGAGCGCCCCCGAGGTCTGGAAAACAGGGTTCAAACGATCCCTCTGGTCCCATGAACGGCCTTGACCTAAGCCATCCAGGTCCGTCATCTGCTGTGATTGGTCGAGAGTCGGGCATTCAAACCATCAAATGTGCCTGGCACCATCTTGTTGATAGACAAGAGTCAAGTGCTTATTCTAAGATATTGTATTCTATATAGACACCAAACGGAAAGACAGAAATTGGCAACATTTCAGCTGCTAGTTGTTTCTATCAGTAGGTTCACACCGAAACCTGACCCTAAAGCGGGCATTGGCCAGGAACAACACCCACTTTACCATGTTTGTTAGCAAGTAGGTTGGGAGAATGTTTACCAACAAATCAGCCATTCTCATTGTTCATCCCCCCCCTTAAACTCTCATAACTCATACATATTTTCTATCTGAGCATCCGACAAAATCTAGTGCATACAAAGTAGTCACAGGGTGGTCTTGGGATATTGGAAACCTGCATCAAACCTGCACAAACGATGGGGGCCGACCCATTCTAGGCAATGTCTTGAGGCTAGATAAGACATTTTGTCCGGCACTCATATTAGGACAAGGACGCCCCTCCAATTGCAGTCCTGCTCCACACTGTTGGAGTGTCGTCGATGAACAACCACGAGACTTCTGCAATAGGAATGGATCCGTCCGAATCAAACCCTCCAACCCCTCCCACGCCGTGCCCAGCCGACGGCGCGCCTCCGCCGATTACGCCTGAAAAGGGGTCGTGCGGGTTTCGCCCAAGGACCTGCCATGTGGCAAAGTGCAATGTGGTTGCGAAGGTTTTTTTGTGCTGCTGCCACTACTTTAGGGACCCCCAGATTGCAAAACCTACACCTGGTCTAGTGCAAGAGGCCGGTCTGATGCAGCTACCGGAGGTTGGAACTTCCTGACAGGTCCTTTGCGAAGTTGGTCAATCTTCCAACCAGGTTTGGGCACCATGTGGCATCTCCAGGTATATAGGTGGAGGCTGGAAAACCATGATGATAGATGTGGCGTAAACTGGAAGCACACAAGCTGCAGGGGTCCGGTGTTTCCGCCACGGCCAACTCTGGAGCTTTCTAGAACTAATAATAGCTTCTTGTTCCCAATAGCTTCTTGCTCCTAGTAGTAAGGCCAGGAGCCCCTAGTAGCTTCTCTACCTCTTGGTCTCAAACACATCTGGCCATGTTCGTCTGGGGGGATCCTGTCACCTGTGGACCCCAGAAGTTCTGGTCAGTCGTTTTTTTGGGTGACAAAAAGGGTTTGACAGACAGGGTTTGTGGACGCGGTCCTAAATGGAATACCCCCCTGTCGAAACCGATTCCCAAAGCAAAGAATCACTTCATGCAAAATGAGGTTTCTCTTTAAGGGTTTTGTTCATACCCACTGGAAAGCGGATCTCAAGATGTCAGTAAGGGTATCTCACTCAGATCTTCTGCGAATCTGTTGTTTTGTTTGAATTTCAGGACAACGAAGCCTGGGTCAAGGCCAGTCTGTGGGACAAGGACTTTGGGGAACGGTTTTTTTCGTGAAGATCCGGGAGTCCATGGCCCGGTTGTGCCGCACTCTCTCAGCAAAGGACCAACCATGATCCCCCAGGACCTTCAGTACGTGACCTAACGAATGAGATCCTAGTGGCTGTGGTCACAACAAGAGACTCCACAAAAGTCACATCTGGAAGGCCGTGATTCCTATAGGGCACCAGTTTTGTGCCTCCGATACTGTATGACTGGACGGGACTGTCGAAACGAAGGAGTCCGACGGTGAGGTGCCCGAGGAAGGGGGGATGAGGATTGTGATCACCATGAACCGGTGAACCTTTACACAATAGTACCCAAACCATCTATGTATGAACATATTTACCTACCAGGACCTTCAGTACGTGACCTAACTTGAGATCCCAGAATGAGGTCACAACAAGTCCCTGAAGAGGTCACTTACAGACTCCAAAGAGGTCACGAACTGAAGGGGGGGGTGTTATGCCTGGGGTCTCGCGAACAAAACCTTATCACATTGGTTGAGCGTAGAGAAGCCACGTCCTCCCCATGCACAGCTTCATAATGATCATATCCCAGACACGACTAATGGGACTGCCATAGGACCGCCGATCAGTTGGGGTAGTTTTGGGGGTCAATGTAGGCATATATGGCAGTCCCATGGAGTGTCTGGGTATTGTTGTTTTTTCCTATGCTTAGGACGCTTCAATTGCCGAGTATATTATAACTCGGTATTGACCTGTCAAATGAAGCACTGAGAGACCCTGAACATTCCAAACAACATATGAGGGTTGTCCAAAATTACTTTGTCTGAGGAAGGTCCAATCGCCGTGCCAATCGCGATGCAGGTTTCACCAATCACGAACTTCCAAAAGTCATAGCCTTACTTAATTCATAGACATGCATTTGCGGACGGCTCGTTCTTGTCTACACCTTCAACCGGCCATTTACAAGCAGCGATCAAACTCCAGACCGGGCATCAGAGGCACATGTCTTTTTTCCAGCCTCATGCCGCCACGCTTTGACCCGGCGCCCGGCGGTCGCTTCGCAACGTTCGGAGGAGGGGGGCGGAGGAGGGGGTCGCCCATGCGACGCTTGATACACGATCAGACCACTATATATCATTTCCAAGTTTGGGTAGCTTTTGCATGGGATTTCAGAGCTGCTGTTTGTTGCTGATCTAAAAAGCACCCGAAACTTAGAAGTCCTGGCAGTTCGGCTGATATACTCTGATCCCAAAGATATCTTTCTTCACTGGTCTTGCTTTGCTGAAGCTTCTGGCCAATTTGGGCGCAGCAAAGGCGCCCAAGGTCTAAGCGGAGTTCCAAAGGATTGAACCCAATGGATCTGACGCGAACAGATCCATCCCTAGGGTTCCAACCACCTCCTGAGAAGATGGTTGGGGTGGGGTTGGGGGGGTCTAACCACCAAACCTGAGATGGGCCAGGTGCGCTAGGGTATAGTCAGATCCATGGCCAATGGATCTGACTGGACTTCTGTCAGACATGCGGATGAATCAAGGAGAATCAGGGCCCGGTGACTGACTGGCGCTAAGGGCGTTGAAAGGACTGATACCGAGTGTTTTTTTCCGTCGCGTTTTTTTTTTTTCTGGGACCCAAATACACTTGGAAAAGGACAGCTAGGACTAGCAGCACGCATGTGTTCAACACGATTCGTCAGAATCAGGGTTTCTGCACTCCCCATCTCTCCCCATACGGCCCATACGCGATGTTTCACTGTTTCACTTCCTCTTGGCAAAGGGAGTTGTTTCTTTCCAGCCATAATGATATCTCAAATGTCTTAAAGCATGGAGTCACCTGGAGATTTGCCAGTGGAATATCTCTTTGTCTCAGATTTAAGGCGTCGCTGACATCCTCTTGCGCCTCTTCCCCCCAACGGCAGCAGTGATTGACTGCCATGCAGCGCGTCTAGGCCCCGTAAAGACGGGCCACTATACAAAGGAGCAAGTTAGACCTGGGTCGTTCTTCGACCCCAGCGTGCAGTGGGTCCCAAAGCGAGGCTGGATCCTGAAGCAGTGGTTGAATACAGGTATGTCAATGTTGATCAATGTTGCATGAATCCTGACAACTGCAAGTCGTTAGCAGCTTGGGTGTTGAATCCACGCACTGAATGCAGTGTGAGTGAATTCAGTATCTGCCACTGGGGCACTTCTGGGTATCTCCCTCCAGTTTCACTTCAAGTCTGAAGTAAGTTGAGTCCCTACAGTGTCCTACAGGTCAGTTCGAGCTGATTCTACGGAAGTTGATCATACAAAACGCATCCAAAAAGCACTACTCACTACTCAATCAAGTACAGAACCAGATTCTACTGGGTCTGTCCGGACCCTGTAGGGCTTTGATTTGATGAAAGAACCCGGAATCGGCATCGGCATGTAGGACACGTGGTGTTTTGATGCACCCGAAACCGGACACGTGGTGTTCATCAAACACAACACATATTGAGAATTGCTCGTATAGATCAAATATGTCCTGACAAGTAGAATGTGGACTCCTAACTACTTTGCCCCCGCTCAATTGAATTGAACACGCTGGTCATATGGGGTGGTGAAATATAATCAAGAGTCTACATTCCCTAGGGCTCCAACTACCTCCTGAGAAGATGGTTGGGGTGGGTTTTGGGGGTCTAACCACCTTCTGAGGATATGGTTGGAGCCCTAGGGATTACTATATGCACCTTACCGAAAGTCGGTCATCAAACTTCGGCAGTCTCACCCACCAATCACGGAACTTCGCTGCGCCATTTGCTGGTGTTAGCATAGATTCTTCACGTCAGAACTGATTGAAACTGAATGGTTACGAGATGTTGTGAGATCAGTTGTCAGATGTTGTCATCCAGGGCATCAGCCAGCAGCCCAGCCGGGTCCGCCAATCGAATTGACTTGAGGATGGCCTCGCCATGCCTGTAGGAGGAGGCCATCCCCATGTGTTGCATGGGACCGTCTTGGTGTAGAGATGGTGGACTTGACAAAGACAACTGGGGAACCCCTCAATGGGATTAATGTAGGGCTCCTCTCCCACATCCTGAGAAGATGCTTATATAAGGTGGGTGCCAGGGGGGTCTAACCTGAGCATATGGGCCAGGAGCCCTAGAAATTAAAGACTATGAGCTCTACCTTTACCTCCAACTGACCCAGGTCCCTAAGACCTGATTCCACATTTCTTGACCCGATAGAAGTCCGGTTCGACTGTCTTTGCCACCACCGAAGTCTGGCAAATGCCTGGACTCGGGTCATCTAGTCAAAGGCATATGCTGTACCGACCAACACATCACGACGCGGTTTGGGTGGACGGGGTTGCGAACATCAAAGCATGTGTGATGTCAAGAAATTGCAAAGGAAGAAGGTGTCTTTTCACTTCCATGTTGGACTAAGGTGGAAGTGAAGAAGACTAAGTGAAAAAGGTGTTCTTCACCTCCTAATTGCAAAAGGTGTCTTTTCACTTTCATGTTGGTGTTTTACCTGGCTGAAAACTACGGTGGACCTTGAAAACCACTGCTTTGTTAAAGGAAAAGAGGTCAGACGACCCGGGTGCCTCGACCCGGGTCCATGCTAGTTTTTCAAGGAGTGTACCATACATCTCCCGGACACGACTAATGGGACTGCCAGTTTGGACTGCCTTCAAAACACGGCCGTTTGGGGTGGTGGTTTGGGGGGGTCTGTCTGGGGCGGCAGTCCTATTCCATGTCCCATTCGTCATGTATGGGATACAGCATGATGTGACTGGCATGCGTGACTTCGGACATCCTTCGTGGCTTCCTTCGTTGCGGATGAACCGGATGATACGTTCCAATGGGGGATCGGATGAAGCGGGTCCTGCTTGGGGTGAGGTCCTAGGGTCCCCGTCTCCGAATGGGATTCTTCTCCAACCTGCGAAAGGACCACAAACACCGCTGTGCAAAGTCCTGCTGATGCTGGATTGGATGGTTGAGAAGGATTTGTTTCATCAAAAAACACATAATGAGAAACATGTGCTTATGAGGATCCTTTCTTGATTCCTGTTCACACATCGGCATTGCAATCAGCTCTCAGAACTTTCGAATGCAAAGGAGAATCGACCCCCCCTTGAACTGGGCGGATAGATATTGTTGAGACAGCATCTAGCGGCGACTTTTCAGCCAAACAAGACTAGCCACTCATTCCCCAACTCCAAGTTATCCCATGACAGACTGCACCAGTGACCAAATGCACTGCGCATCTCTTCTAACACCGCGGGGGGAGTCCCCCGCGACTGACCACACGATGCAAGAAGGG